ATTACCCTACTCACTGAATCAGTCCATCTCATCAAGGGTCTTCCTCTCTTGTGCTGTCCCTCCACCCTCCCAAGCATGACCTCCCTCTCCAAGGACTGATCCTCCTTGCAATATGTTCAAAGTACGTCTGACAAAGCTTCAAAATCCTTGCCTCTAAGAAGCAGCCTGGTCTCACTCTCTCTAGGATGAACCTGTTTGTTCTCCTATCAGTCCGTGGTATATTCAGTACTCTTCTTGAGCACCACAGCTCAAAGGCATCAATTCTCCTTCTATCATCCCTAGTCATTGTCTAGCTTTCTGATGCATAGCAAGTAATTGTAAAGACCATGGCCTGGATCAGGTGCACCTCCATTTCCACGCTGACATTGTTGCTCTTCAGTACTTTGGAGAGGTCTGTGACAGTAGACTTTCTCAGTGCAATTAGTCTTTTAATTTCCTGGCTGCTGGTACCAAGAGTGTTGATTGTGTAGCCAAGCAAACTAAAGCTGTGAACAATCTCAGTCTTTTCACCATCCATACTGATGCTTCCAATTGGCCCAGTGGTGAGAATCTGTTTTCTTGATGTTGAGCTTCAATCCATATTGAAGGCTGCAGTCCTTGACCTTCTGCAGCAAGCACTAGGACTCCTAATAAAAGGAGTATGATGTTGTTATGTGCTGTCAAGTCAACTACCACTCATAGGGACCCTATGAACAGTGGCTCAGAACCTTGCCCTATCCTGACCAACCTCGGTCTCTAACACACCTCACTTCATTGCCACAGTCAGATTAGGACATTAAAATAGTAACTGTCACAAGGCTAAGACATTTTTCTTGGCTTAAATAGGATAGAGGGAATTGAAATGTATGTTGTAGAGTAAATTTTAACTCATCGTAACTTTATTGGACAGAAAGTTAATAAATTTTTTAGACTGTGGTCTTTGTTTTAGGTCTGTCACCCATGAAAACTTTGGTAGGTTTCAATTTCCAACTCGTTAGCTAGCAGCTGGGTACTTAAACACTGTGGCTTCTTCTATAGAGTGTAATGTTATTTAGAGCAGTATCTGGCCCAAACCAAAACATCTTTACCTGGTCAGCAGCACCTCTTTGGTATTTATGCAAAAAAACCCCCTGTGGTTCAGGGAAAGAAAGTGATATATCCAACCAAGGTCACAGAGCTGATGAGCATCAGACCCGGAACTGGAGTAGCCCTGAGTCCCTGAGCAATACCGTGCTGTGTTCTTCCTCTTCTCCTTGGAAGGAGAGACCGAGTATGTTGTCCCTTTCCTCTGTTTCCAGAGTTCAGGACCTGGAGGGGCTAGGAAGAGGGCTTGCAGGAGCCAGAGGCAGCCCAGAGGTCTTAATGATCCCCTATGACCTGTGCACAAGGCAGGGTTTGAAGGGAAGGCAAGTTGAGAGTTCAGATGGGAAACACGATCTCTGAGAGTTAAGATCTGAGCAATGTTCCTGCCCTGGTCCCAGCACCACAGCTGCCAGGGAGCCCCAGTGCAAGAAGGTTCTTGCTTGATAGGTCACCAAAGGCTGGTGGGAATAGTGATGTCTGCAAAGAGAACAAATCAAAAGAACCTTAGAATCTGGTTAGTGCTTTTAAAAAGATCCGTGGGCTAACATCAGTCTCACTTCCTAAAAATGTGTTATAATTGTGAATTGTGTCCTTAGTCCTGACCTGAATCTGAAACCCTAGGGAGAGGACGCAGCATTTTGGATCTATGATGACCTCCAGGTAGGTCTGATGCATATTCAAGTGTGAGAACCACAGATCTAGTCAGGGAGCCCCTGGGTGGTACAATCAGTCAAGTGATTTCCTACTAACTAGAAGATTGACAGTTTGAATCCACTCAGAGGCACCTTGGAAGCAAGCCCTGGTGACTTATTTGTGTAACCCATTGGAAACCCTAAGGAGCTCGGCTCTACTCTGACACACGGAATCACCATGAGTTGGAATTGACTCAGTGCTTGGCTTTGTTTTTTATTTAATCCATCCTCTCAACGTTGTGGCTAGGAACTGAGTCCGAGAGAAAGAGAAAGAGAGTTAGGGTCACATAACAAAAGTTATCCTCAATTTAATTAATTCATCCTCATTCCTTAAAGTGGTTATACCAATTTGAGGTATCTTGGGTGAATTGCTGGTTTCCGAACTTCACTTTCTGTACTCTCAGAGCTCTCTTGTGAGCTGTGTCTCCTGTCTCTGGTGTAAGCATCCTATGGCAGCTTCGGCCTCAGGGTGCAGTACAGCTTACAGCTTGAGCCAGGGAGGCACAGTCTGTATTATCTGACTCCAACCCCAGTCTTGCCCTTTGCTAAATGTATGACATGGTCAAACTGCTCAACTCCGAGCCTGCATTCCCCGCTCTGAACTCCCTGAGAGAAGCAACCCAATGCAGATTAATCCCTGTAATTTGAAGTACTTCTGTTCTTGTAGCATTTAATTTGAGTAAAACTATGGGCCCTTTCCTTCATCCCCAGTCAGCAGTCACTGGAGTGTAGGTGCTACCTCTGTTTCGCCACTCCAGAACAAGCCCCTCAAAAATATATTCTAGGTACTTATCAAACATAGAATGTGACTTAACTTACGCAAGCATGTCCACAAAATATAATGCCACTCAGTCCAGTTATTCACAGGCAAGAACAAGAGACAGAGTTATCATCTATTCCATCCTGGCTGCCTCCTCCTCTCATGGGTCCCCTCTGACTGACTGCCAGCCCCGGTCAGTGCCTGGACTCCCCTGCTCACAGCTCTCTTACCTCCCACAGGTGGCCACCATGATCTCCTGGGTGCTCCTGGCCTGTGCCCTCCCCTGTGCTGCCGACCCACTGCTCGGCGCCTTTGCCCGCAAGGACCTTCAGAAAGGCTCCCCTCAACTTGTCTGCAGCCTGCCTGGCCCTCAAGGTCCACCTGGGCCCCCAGGAGCCCCAGGGCCCTCAGGGATGGTGGGCAGAATGGGCTTTCCTGGGAAAGATGGCCAGGACGGCCAGGATGGGGATCGCGGGGACAGTGGAGAGGAAGGTAAGAGGCCTAGCGTCTGGCCCTCCTGTGCCCATCTGGGCTTGATGCCATCTGGCACATGGGGGGTTTAGGAAGTTATTAAAATATTGTTTATTCTATTTAATTATAAGCCAAATTGATGTCTTTTTATAAACAGAGCAATAATTTCTACTGAAAGAGACCCAACAAATCAAACTCATTGCCATTAAGTCAGTTCCAACTTGGAGTGACCTAGTAGAACAAGGCTGAAAGTCTTTATGAGAGCAGACTGTCTACCTTTCCTCCATAGAGCGAACCACTGACTTTTTTGTTAGCAGCTGAACACTTTAACTGTCACACCACCGGAACTCTTACCACTAGGGACAGTGGATATCAAATTCTGATTTCTTGCCCCATTTGTACCATCATTTTGCTGGGTGACTTTGAAGTATTCAGAATTCTCTTGGTTGCAGTGACAGAAACCCAGTTTATATCTCCAGGTAGAAGTTATTGGTGCATGCAACTGGAAATTTCAAGGACCACGCTGAAGGAATGACTGGGTCGAAGAGCTCAAATATCACTGGTAGAGCTCTGCACTGTCAAAGCTCAGCTTGGTGTGTTTGTTTTGTTCTCAGAGTGATTGGGCATGGGAAATGGCTAAGCCTGTATCCTCACAGCTCTATCCACATTCCATTTCTCAGGATGATTGATTGTTCTTGGACTGATCACATGTAGACCAGTAGTGGACCAGTGCACTCTACTACTAATCTAAAGGTTGGCAGTTTGAACTCACATAGTAACACTGTCAAAGAAAGGCTTGTGATCTCCTTTGTGAAGATTACAGCCAAGAAAACCCGAAGAAGCAGTTCTACACCCACTCCTCATTTATCAGCATGGTTAGGTTCTAAAGACAAGGTCAGGCAATCTCTGGTGGCCTAGTGGCAAGAAGCTACACTGCAATCCCAGGGGTGAGTGGTTTGAATCCACCAGATGCTCTGCTGGAGAAGGAGGGACAATCTCAGATCCAATTTGACAGTACACACACACATACCCCCCAAAAAATAAATAAAAAATAATGATAATGAAAAAAGAGAAATGTTGCATTACACACAACATTTAACAACAAAAAAAAGTCATTAAGCTAAAATCACTGTTATGCAAAAATGAAGAATGACTACATCAGATCACAAAAGAGAAGGGGAGTACAATATTACAACTTCCAGATTACATTGTTATATTACTTCCAAACTGGTGAGAATCATGGCCTGGCCACATTGATTCGCAATCTTAGCCGTCACAGCCACCATAATTGTTGTTTCCCAGAGTAGTGTTTATTGCTGTCAGATTTACATTATTGATGAGCAAAAGATTCGGTTCGTTCATTTTTCCTATTGTCTTAAATGTGAAATGTCAGATAACAAGATAGCCTATGATTGAGAAGTAGGTGTACTCTGTGTAGGGTTGCCAGGATGAGTTGGAATCTACTTGACAGCATTGGATTTGTTGTTTTCACTTTGGAGTGGGACGGGTTGGAGGGGGAGCAGGTCATGTGTGCCTCAGTGGACCAGTCACTTCAACCATGAAAATAAAATTCCATCATGTCTAGGACTAGATTACACATAAGCTTGGTCACTCTGGCACCAGTCTTTTTGTTGTTATGTGCCATTGACTTGCCTGCGACTCATAGTGATCCTATGTGCAATAGCTCCGAACTCTGCCCTATCCTGAGCCAGCTCACTGTCTTTGTCACTGACTCCCATTACCACACTCACTGTGTTAATCCATCTCATCCAGGGTCTGCCTCTCCTGTGCTGTCCTTACACCCTTCCAAGCATGATGTGTATCATAATATCCATATCACCCCACAGTA